CTTTATGGGTTGTACGCAGGTCGCAGGTCAAATGTCAAATCTAGTGGGTGTGCCAAGGTCACAGGTCAAATGTCAAATCTAGTGGGTGTGCCAAGGTCGCAGGTCAAATGTCAAGTCCAGGGGTGTGTGCCAAGGTCACAGGTCAAATGTCAAATCTAGTGGGTGTGCCAAGGTCACAGGTCAAATGTCAAATCTAGTGGGTGTGCTCAGGTCACAGGTCAAGTGTAGCGGGTGTGCCCAGGTCACAGTTCAAGTATAGTGGGTGTGCCAAGGTCACAGGTAAAGTGTCAAGTTTAGGGGGTGTGCCTGTTCATTTGATCAAGTCTCGGCAGATCCAAAGGGTGTGTTTCGTTGTTTTCGTGTTCGTCAACGTTTTGACACTTTAGCGAAAAACGCCCTCTAGAAACGAAAAATGTAACATAGTGCCCCACCTGCCGCTAGGTGACATTAGCTTGGACAATGTGAGACACGTGTGTAACCAAGCGCCAAGTTCAACTGGTAACACACACCACTGCACAATTCTTGGTTCTGATACAGTTGTTCCATTTGGTTTATCTGTGGCACCAAGGCTATACACTAAATTAAATAAGCCAATAGTTGCTTACTTACGTTCCAACGGAATACTAGTAGTTTCTTATCTCGATGATATGTTGGTATTGGGCAGAGCATATGATGAATGTATGTCTTCCTTAAGGAAAGTAATGTCATTGTTGGAAACTTTAGGTTTTAAAATTAATGTGGAAAAATCTTAATTAATGCCCTCACAAGTTGTTCGCTATTTAGGATTCATAATTAATTCAAGTACCATGACTTTGTCTTTGCCAGAGGAAAAATGTAATAGAGTAATTTCTAAATGTGACAAGACCGTTAATAGTTCACAAATAACAATCAGAGAATTAGCAGAATTAATTGGAACGTTAATAGCTGCAGCACCAGCAACAAAATATGGTATGTTATATACCAAACAGTTAGAGCAGGAGAAAACTTTGGCATTGGATGAATGTTGTAATAATTGGTCAGGGAAAGTAAGTTTATCGGTGGAGGCCAAGTCAGATTTGAGTTGGTGGATTCTTAACGCCGGAAAATTTTATAATAATTTGCACAAGCCCAAACCGCAATGTATTATTACAACAGATGCATCCCCCACAGGTTGGGGAGCATGGATTGAGGCGGATGGAAAAGAGATTCATGGTCACTGGTCAGGAGAATTTCTTGATTATCATATCAACGTGCTAGAGATTTGGGCCGTTTTCCTTGGCTTAAGATTTTTGATAAAAACTCGAGGAATTCATATTTTGGTTCGCACAGATAGTTCGACAGCAATGGCATACATTAATAAATTTGGAGGTTGTAGGTCAACAGGTGTACATGATGTAGCCAAGAAGTTGTGGCGCTGGGCTGAGTCGCATGATATTACAATTGCTGCGAATTATATTAATACTAAGGACAACTATGTAGCGGATAAATTATCAAGGAAACAGAACGATTCTTCTGATTTTATGCTAAGTACTTTTTATTTTGATCGAATTTGTAGAGAATTTGGCGTTCCCGAAATAGACTTGTTTGCGTCACACGGGACGACTCAGTGTAAGAGATTCTATTCATATAAGCCCGATCCAACATCGGAAGGAATAGACGCTTTTTCGTTTACTTGGGTAGAGCATTTTTATGCTTTTCCACCATTTAATTTGGTGAATAGAGTAATTAATAAAATTATTGAGGATAAGAGCGAAGGAATTGTTGTGGTACCTGAATGGAAAAGTCAACCATGGTTTCCTTTGTTTAATAGATTAGCTGTGACACCAGTATTAAAATTGGGTCCTAATAAGAATTTGTTGTTTAATCCTAGTTACAGAGAACTACATCCGCTCAACCCCAAGTTATCATTAATGGCCGCGATCTTATCCGGGAAGCAATGCAAAAATTGAACTTACCAGAAAATGTCTTAGATATATTGAGAGCGTCAAAAGCAGAAGGGACTTGGAAACAATACGAATCAGCTTTAGGAAAATGGTCATATTTTTGTAGTCAAAAAGGATTTTCAATATGGGATGTGAATATTAGTAATTATCTTTTGTTTTTAACCGAATTGTACGCAAAGGGCTTAAGTTATTCTGTGTTAAATTCAACTAGGTCAGCGTTATCTTCAGTATTTGGCAGCGTTGATGGTAGTCCAATTGGAGAACATAAACTAATTGTTGATTTTATGAGAGGTGTTAGTAGATTGAGACCAGCAAGACCGAGATATGATTGTACATGGAATCCTGATATAGTTTTAAGTTATCTAAAAACGTGTAATGCTGTGAATTTAAGAAATGTTACTTTGAAATTAGTTGCATTATTAGCTTTGTGTACAGGGCAGAGGGTGCAGACAATAAGTTGTATTATGATCAGAGCTATTTTATGGAGTGATACTGTTCAGATTAGAATAACAAGTAATCTTAAAACAACTACTATAACTAGGTCAAATCCAGTGTTGATTATTCCACCCTACCATGATAAAGATATTTGTCCTGTAGAAACTTTAAGAATTTATAAGAATATGACTGAAGGTATTAGAGGAAATGAGACAAAGTTGTTTATTAGTTTAACAAAACCTCATAAAGCTGTAACTTCGCAAACTATAAGTAGATGGTTATGTAATGTATTAGAGTTATCTGGGATTAATGTTAATAAGTTTCATGCTCATAGTTTTAGGCATGCGTCTGTATCTAAAGCTGCTTTAAGAGATGTTAACATTGACACAATTTTAAGACGAGTCGGATGGACTCCGTCTTCTAAAACATTTGCCTTATTTTATAAGCGTCCGTTTGAGGATAAGAAGTTTGTTAGTAAGTTTGGTCATGCCGTTCTTGCAATGTAATCATTTACTACAAAATTTGTGAATAAATTAATATTGTAAATTCAATTTAGTTAACCAAATTGTACTGTTTTTAATTCTAATTATTGCCTCAACGACTTGGCTTTGAATAACTACTCAACTATTACTCCGTGATGTCGGAGTAAGAGGAAGATGAGACAAAATTGTAGATTTTGTGAGACCTGCGAAGCAGGTTGATACAAAATCAGGATTTTGTGAAGCTTCCGATTACGAAAGACATCACGGCCCTCCATCCCACCCCCAGTAATCAAGTCGTTTCGGTCTTTGAAGCTATGCCGGTTGAATGGTGTGGCGCGTGCAAGTGGGTATGGTGACTTTTTGGTTTTATAACTTTAAACTAGGCGGCAGGTAGTGTGTCTCCAACGTCCTGGAATCGACCACTACTCAACTATTACTCCGTGATGTCTTTCGTAATCGGAAGCTTCACAAAATCCTGATTTTGTATCAACCTGCTTCGCAGGTCTCACAAAATCTACAATTTCGTCACAGCTTTTGTTTCTCTTCTTTTTCCCATTGTTTTTCTGCACGAGATTTTTCTCACTTTCTCCGTCGCCTTATCTACTCTGATTTGCACGACACCCTCGTAAACTTTGGTGTGAAGTGTAACCCTCCGATTTGGCGGAAATTTTGAAATTAGGTGGTCCAAGTCAATACAACCAACGTTTCTTCAGCCGGTTTGTGCGATGGTTGGAGTTACTCAAAATATTTGAGGTCAAAGTTGAAAAAACGGCCGACTTTTTTCAGACGGAGTGAGAAAACTCCACTTCCATTCTCTTCCCCTCGCATTGATTTTATTCAGGTTTCTCACACATACGCCTTCATACACAAGCATAAGCAGTGATGCAAAATAACCAAAATAAAACATTATTAAATATGAATTAATACCCCTCATACTCGCTTAATTTAATTCATAATTGAATAAGTGAGATTTTTACTTCTTTGCATTAAAAATTCATACAAACGTTAATGTACAAATTCATTAACGGCAAATAAACATGGAAAAACTTAACTTACTTTCCATTTCGAAACCGTTGGTTATTCTGATTTCCAATTCATTTGAAAACAAAGACCAAGACCCTTGTGAAATGAGTAATTAATGTTTTTCTATAATAAGTTAAATTTAAAATTGATGACATGAATTATTTCTCGGAGTGAAAATCAATGCGAGGGGAAGAGAATGGAAGTGGAGTTTTCTCACTCCGCCTGAAAAAGTCGGCCGTTTTTTCAACTTTGACCTCAAATATTTTGAGTAACTCCAACCATCGCACAAACTGGCTGAAGAAACGTTAGTTGTATTGACTTGGACTACATAATTTCAAAATTTCAACCAAATTGGAGGGTTACACTTCACACCATTGCATTGTTAGTAATTTTAAATGATTATAATAATGAACAAGTTGAAATGCATGGAGATAATTTAAAAACCAAATATCCGCACATAATAAAGAAAACGTTGATGTTTAACATACAGAAACTTTTCACTAGAACATATATTCCTATTCCACCTTTCATCAAGATGATGGCTGAGAGGTCTGGCTCTGTGTGAGCCTGCATTGTCGTCGAGTGGGGAACAAATTGTATGACTGAAGTAGACAATAGTTCACTTTTTTCGCAAGGAAATAAGAGTGGGGAAAGTGGGGAAAGGTCAATGTTTGAGTTGTTTGTGATGGAAGGAGTTACACAGTTTCATTTCAGTAAATAATCCAAGTTTATTAATAAATATCGCAAGTTTGTTTTCAATCAGACAAACTACAAGTATTAAATATTAAATCTTGTGAACGTAACCCTAGACACAGACCACCTAGCAATATTTTATTAATAAATTTTATACAATAAATTTTTATAGGCGTCAAAATTTCCCCAGTTTAACGACATAGAAGCGTATTTTATGTTTCAATTATCACTTGAAATATAAAATGCCGTATGTCATGCATTCTCCATAATTTTTAACGTTCTGGAAACAATGACATGCTATTTAATTGGAATAACGTGCACAAGTTTTGTTTCTCCTGATGCCTCCAGTTTAGTCCACAACTCCCGAAACGGGTCAGTTTTGTTGGGTGAAAAAGTGGGGAAAGTTGCCGGCTCGAGTTCAGTCTGCTTTCACTCGCTCGACGGCCAACAGCTCGACGGCAAACAGCTCGACGGCCAACAGCTCGCCCTTCTCGCTCTCGGCCTCCGAAATCCCGTCGTGTCGAAATCCAGTGTCTCCACTTTCACCCAAATTTACACTCATGTTTCATCAAATTAGATAGTTGAGTATATCACGAAACGAATTCCACTTTGATCTCTAAATTTAAAACATCCTTCACTTAAGTCAAAGTCAAAGTTGGTAGACCTTTAGTTACCAACACGATTAATTGTGCCAAAGTGATGGATGAACTTTTTCTATAAAATTTGTGAAGTAATATCAACACCAAAGAATTACGAAATGTGTATTCTGGTGTGAAAAATTGTTTAATGAATATATTCGTGTTTTTAATTTTATTTTGTGTGAATTATAGAATTAATGTTATTTTAAAACGTGAAACCTGTATCAAGTGTTTTTAAATTTTGGGAAAATTAGTTTGAGAAAGTTCGTTAATCATAAATTGACCAAGGCGGATTAACAAATCTAATTTAAAACAATCTATTTAATTACTTCTTACACACTTAATAATGGCGTCGGAACTTTACAAACATTACAAAAACTACACATTACAAAAAACCATACAAAAATTCAGCAATTGACGAAAAAATGAAAACTGACTTAAAATCCATTGTCTCATTTTTGTTTACTAAATTTCTCCTTCATTCTGACAGACTGGATTTCATGATTTTTCACTAAACTTGGATAACCGAGAAGATAACAATTCACAACCAAAAAAATATTATTTTGAATCGAGAAACCCGTATCAGAAAATTAGAGAAATTTAATGATCGCGTATCCTGAGATTGGAAACGCGATTTGGCCGAGAAAATTAAAGTTCGAACATTGGTGATATACAAATATATTATAGAAATTAGTTAGTTCAATATCGTACATAATTTACGCCTGGTCGATATCTAGTTGAAATTAATCGATTCTGGTTAAATGGCTAAAATTTACAAATGGTGTCGTCCCCTCACAACAGTTTACCTCACAAAAGAGAAACTGGAAATTTACGTAAAATCGATTGTCTTATTTTTGTACTAACTTTCTCTCTCATCCTGACAGGCTGGATTTCATGACTTTTGACTAAATTTGGATAATCGAGAAGATCACAGTTCTCTATAAATAGTTTTACCGGATGTGTAAATCTATAGTAAATTGCATCGCTTAATTAAAACGAAACTTACTAAATATTTATATGTAACTTTAGTGTTTTGATAATTTTGTGAAATTTCCTAACTCAAACATGGTGCCAAGGACATGAACAATTTGTGTGTAATATTTATAAAGCTTAGAACAAATAATTAGAACAAATAGAATAAATCCTCAGTGGTGAAAGTGGATGTGAAGTGAGTTTTAATTAGTTTAGCGAATAAAATGCTGTCCCAAAGCGGAACATCAAACTTCAAAATGAGAAAAATTGTGTGCGCAATGCTCTTTCTGGTCAGATTGGATCCAATTTTACAAGGTAAGCAAAATAATAAACGATTTTTCGTTTATAAAAGTTAGTGAAAATCATACTTATTTAATAACAGAAATGTTAAGCATATACCAAGTTTTCATAAATTACGACATACTCACAAAACTCCACATTTGCTACGAATGTGACCAAAAAAGCAAATTATCTGTCAACTAGATACTCAAATTGAGCATAAGGCAAAAACATTCATAAAAAAATGGTTATTGAAAAATTATACAAAAGTGTAACATCAACGATGACGGTGGTCTCCGGTATATAATAAGAACAAAAGGTTAAATAACTAAATATAATATACTTGACCAGTCGTGTTTCACGTGACAAATATGCAAATTATATTTTATCACGCCAAGGATCCTAATTATTAAAACAAAAGGGAAAACTAGTCATGAAAATTTTTGCCAGAATCGATTTTCCCGTTTTTATAGGAAGTACCAAATTCTTTATTTTTAAAAAACAAAACTATTTACCAACGATAAGGCAATTCACGCAGTTCTTAGTAACTTCATGAAATTCGTAAACTTACAAAGTACAAATATTAACAAATATTTGAAGGACAATAAGCTTACACAGTTTTTAAAACGTCATGTTAAGGTTTTGTAAAACTTATGTTAAAAATATTTCTACCGAAAATTAGCTTACAAATTTTGCATTCTTATACTCCGAACAAGGGCAACTTTTTAGTTTGTAAAATCAGTAAAATCAATTTGTAAAACGTACGAATTTTATAAAGTTTCTTTGTGAATTGTATCTACATTAATCAACCAATTTCTCCCAGGCCGTTAAGAAAGACCTCTCAAGCCAAATAATAAATATTCAGGTGAAATGTAAAACAGGCATCGCCTCATCCATCCGATCCGATCCGCCACTTTCTCCTCGTTCATAATGCATGGGGGATGAGGAGGGATTGATTTATTAGGAGAAAGTCTGCAGCCAATCCTTCACTCGCCCAGAAATATGGGCTCACTCAACTTCCACGGAAAACTGTCCGTTGTTGCCGCATAAATAAACGAGTCAGCCAGAACAGAGATCCATCCCGTTTCGACGTGAGGATGATGATGATCTGCATCTGGAGACGGGGCACGCGATGGCAATTACGCGGATGAGAAAGGCGAGGAGAAAGTCGGGAACAAGATGTTTTCCGTCCCGTCATGTCGAAAAAGATAAAAGGAAATCAATGAAATGACGGAATTATGACGAGCTGTGTACTTACAACATGCTCCAAATTCTTGTAAGATTCCATCCACATTATTTTCCTGTGTTTCTGAGAGAAATTTAGCCTGCATTAGAAATTATGAAGAAATTGTATTTAATGCGTCCCCGAAATTTCAAACAAGTAAATACTAACTAAGGTTAAATCAAGTTTTCAGTTGGTTGGTGCTTCCAAAAATCTGACCCCAAATTCAAAATAATGATTACTAAATAGTTAAATCCCAAATTCTATTATGGTTCAGCCATAGCATGCCCTCCTTAAGCTTTCCATGCAAAAAATCCTACGGTTTCGATGTTTGGCCACATCAAAATTGTAATCTAACTTACTTTAAAAAATTTGTTTTATTTTAAATTAATTTGTACCGGACTCGAATTCCGACAAACGCATTAAAAATACGTTTCAAATAAATTTTGGCACGTTACAATTTAATTTTTACCGATTGCGTCGTTTTCTTTAAAAATATGATCTGAGGTCGATGCTTTTGTTGCACGCAAATCCACAATTTTAAGATTGCGAATATGTTGACATACAAGCAGAGTGTGCAAGGGCAAAAAGGCATGCCGTGCCAAAAATGCCTTTTTGCTTATTAGGCAGGTGAATTTTGGCCATGCCCGATTGCCCGAAATGCCGTTTTGCCTTTTTGATAAAATCAGGGCAACCTGATCATACGATCGCATGTTTTGTTATTTGCAATCATTCACAGTTCACAGGATTTGTCGCCATGTGAATAATTAAGTTATTAAGCCGAGCTGGATGATTCTCACTAAAAAATTATGTACATCTTGAGGTGATTCATAATTACTCGTAGTAATCATAAGAACGTAGGTAAATGATATTGTGGGGTATTTAAAGAAGAAACCGAAATGTAAAGCTAATGATATTCTTTATTGTCTATTAAAATTTGTAAAATAGCCCAGATGACCAATATAAACATATGGAAAAAAGCAAAAAGGCATCAAACGGGCAAAAAGGCATCAAACGGGCAAAAAGGCATCAAACGGGCAAAAAGGCAAAAGGGCATAACTTTTCACCCAAAAAGGCGCCTTTTTGCACACTCTGCATACAAGGTTTGACATATTTGAGTAATTTCAGATTTTGTATCATCGTAAACATATTTTCAAGAATAATCCCGCCTGTCCAAAATGTTACCTTGCGAATATATTTATTAATTGGCAAGCTTATTTATCACAGCCAACTGTTGAACTATACACACGTTTTATTTTACAGGCTGCTATTTTGTAGTTTAAATTAATTCTTAGAAATGCTCCTGTTGACAAACTTATATGAAAAAGGTGAAAAAGTAAATTTTGTAATGATTTCGCAAGAAAGAAAATCCCAACCAGAGTTATACATTTCTTTATATTCTCAATATTATACCTTCCACGTTACGTAATTTCTTTTGCGAAACAGCTAAAATAACATGAAATCCATTAAATCGTCTTTCCAGAATTTAATTGGAAGCAAATAACAATTTCAGGCTTCTTTCACTCATCATTGCTTGATTTGATTTTGTTTTTCTTGCAAAACTACTTTCGCAATATGTGGAAAATTGTTTGATATCATTTCTATCTCAAATATACATAGAAGTTAAGGCCATGTTTTCTATATAAAATCTTCACCGTAATCACCAACTGAAATTCAACTACCGAATTAGGGAAGCCTAAAAAGTGTCCCAAATTATTTTCGTCCCTATAATTCATTATGAGTGAATTATTCCTTATCTTTCTCTCCTTTCTCGCAAACACACAAACTTTGCCTTCGCGTCGAAATGATTGGACGAAAGTGGCAAAAAACACAAGTACCCGAAACACGAAGGAAAGTTGCAAAGAGCGGAGTGAAAGTTGGGCTTCTTATTCATTAAACGTGTGATCTGCGTGATTCCATTCGTCTCGAGTTTCTTCAGGTGAAAGAAAATACGAAGTTATTGTGTAATTAAACTAATGGGGGATGTTGTTATGTTGTTATTCTTTTTGTGTGGAGGTTTATATTAAAGTGGGTAGTAACGGAATGTCGTTCAAAGTGAACAAAAGTGTTGCCCAAGTGTGTGTTTCGGTAACGATAAAGCTGTGTCATTGGAGGCTGGAATGTCGCTAAATTAGACAAAAATTTCTATTAACAAGCCCTCCAAAACAGGGGAATTTACGGAAAAGGAGAAGCGTGGGATGAAACTAGTGCCAAAAATGTGATGGCATCAAACAAATATTTTATGGAATCAATTTTTATAATTATGATCTTCTCGATAACAGTTTCTAAATCATAATAGATAAATTCGCAAACCAGCCTATTTTACTAAAATCTGAATGTACATTTCACTACTTCAAGGCAGAGTGTGCAAGGGCAAAAAGGCATGCCGTGCCTGAAATGCCTTTTTGCCTATTAGGCACGTGAATTTTGGCCATGCCCGATTGCCCGAAATGCCTTTTTGCCTTTTTGGTAAAGTCGGGGCAATGCGATAATACGCTCCCATGATTTGTGAGTCATTAGTCGTAATCTTTCACAGTTCGCAGGATTTGTACAGGGACAGGATTTGGACAGGTGTACAAATATTCACAAATACTCGTAATTATCATGAGTGCGTCAGGAAATAATGTTGTGGGCTAGTTGTTTAGAAGTGTAAGGTTGGTAACGATTTACATACAGAAAACCGAAATATAAACCAAATTACACTGTTATTGGTACTTTCTCGTGCACAGTGAAGTTTGTAAAATGGTCCAGGCAATGCCCAATGTAAACATACGGAAAAAGGCAAAAAGGCATCAAACGGGCAAAAAGGCACGCAAAAAGGCAATTCGGCATTGAAACGGGCAAAACGGCAAAAAGGCATGAATTTTTTCCCAAAAAGGCGCCTTTTTGCATACTCTGCTTCAAGGCATCAACAAATACACCTATAATCATTAACTATGTAAATTATTATAAATATTTCATTTCTGACATTGAAATACTACAACAAATTTATTAAATTCTAACTGTTTCTTATCCCTAATTTTTATAAGATCTATGCTGATCGATGCGAAATCTAATAATTTTATTACCTTTCAAGTTTGACACGACTAAATCAGTTCAAATTTAGGTTCTTATGTAAAGTTGCTGCTTTTTTTACCTAAATTTTTGCATTCAAGGAAACTTGCAATATTCCCATATTATTTAGAGTGACCTTCTCTCATACAACTTTCGGAGGAGAAAGTACTGCCTCGTTTTCAATTTTACTTTCTTCTTCGCCCACAAACAACGAGCAAAGTTTAAAAGCGTTATACAACTTTTTTCACTTTTTTGCGTTGTCGGTATATTTACTTTGTCGTTGAATTTTATTGTTTTACTTTCTCCCGACCTTTCACTTACGGCGTGATATGCGTCCGAATGGAGGCGGGCGGAATAAATGAAGTTTCATGTTAATGGGGCAAATGACAAATTCATTTAAGAAAAGTGTCTAACACGTTGACCTAGAAATTTTAAATTTTTATACCAAAATTGAACAAAAATTATACTTTTTTACTGACAAAAAAAATATATCAAAAATCTCAATTCAAGATTTTAGATTCTAAGCCAGAAACTCAAAAGATTAGTCAAACAAATTTTTGACTTTGTGTAATTCTAAAATTCGGCCTTATTAAGTAAGTGGGTCTGTGTACATAAATTAATTTCAATCCATTGCATAACAAGCTTTACCACAAAATTCAACCCGTGGAAGTTTAAATTACTTATTGTTTTCCCCTTAAGCAAGTTTTATTTGAAAATTTGGGAAAAACAACGAGATTAAAGTTCACTGTTTTCTCTCTCT